CCGAGCCCGGCCGCCATCGCACAGCCCGGCCCGTCGTACGGGCGCAGTTGGTGCGCTCTCCTCGAGCGGTTCCCTGCGATGCAGATCCCCTGGCCTTCTGTTTGGGCGCTGGCCGGATCGAATCCCAGCGCACTCTGGCGTGTACGGTGACGGAGCGATGCGGCCGGGGTTTGGGCGGCGAGAGCCAGATTGGCCAGCAGCCGACGGCCAGCAGCCAGGCCGAAGCGCACCAGGAGCAGCCCGAGCATGCTGGCGAGCGAGATCAGAGCGAGCGACGTTTCTCCCGCCAGCCGGAAGGGGCAGGCGTGGCAGGACTAGTCCCGCTCGAGGTTGGCAGGGCGAGGGCGAGCATGATCCCGAACGGCGACAGGCAGGCCGGCATGTGCCCAAGAAGATCCGGCTCTCGTTCCGTTTCCTTCCCGCCATTTCAAACCGATGCCCCGGGCGGGCCAGGGAGGAGGGCGCGACCATCATGGTGCAGAGGGCGACGTCGACGATGCATAACGTTAACGTCCTCTGCCAGCGCCTCGCTGGAAGCGACAGACGAAAGGACACAAGAGCTGGGCCGAGGGGTCGATAATCGTGCCGTGCCGTACGGTCGGTACCGTGTGGCGCCGCTGCCATCGTCAACGTCGCCGCCGCCGCCGTCGCCGACGAGGAGCGGAGCGGCGTGGCGGGAGTACGTTGGCACGAGGGGCGACCCCCCAAACCCTGGGCGTGGCGCGATGACGTCGGCCTATCGATTTTGGGTTTTCCTCCTCGACGAGCGCGAGGCCAGCGGGCAGGCGGTTTGAGGCCAGGCGGTTTGGACTCGGCCCATCTTCTTGTTGCCATCGCCCGCCCATCGAGCAGGCAGGCCGTCAACAGGCTGGCAGGCAGGCAGGCAGGAACGCTCTCTCGCTTCGTTTGCATCGCCTCGCGCCCAGGCCGGGGACCCTAGGCAGGCTGGCATGGCACCAGATGGGCAGGCCCAGGCTAGGGTCCTCGCTGCTCGTCGTCGTCGTCGTGGCCGTCGAATCTTGCTTCTTCTTGGCTGCCTGACGACGGGGTGGCGAAAACGTTTCTGCTCTCTCATCCATCCAGCAGAGATCGGGGTCGGGTCATGCCACGAGCCCACCAGAGAGGAAAGGCAGCTAGGGCGCCCTGGCCAGGCCTGGCAGGGCAGCGAGCCCAACATCCAACTGCAGGCCAAGGTGCGGCGGCGACGGGGCGACGGCGGTCATCTCGCTGGGCGTGCATCGTCGTCGTCGTCGATGCGGCTCAGCGTTTCTTGCGGCCAGGCCATGCAGGCCCATCGATGGGACGGCGGGTGCCCAGGCTAGGGCTTGGACCCACGCGCCCGCCGATCAGAAGAACCGCCAGGCAGCGAGGGCGGGCAGGCAGGCGATGGGCCTGGCAGGCTGGCCTGACGGTCCGGAAGGGCCGACCTGCCTGCTGCGCTGCGCTGCCCTGCGCTGTGCTGCCCGCCTGCCCGCCCGCTGCTGGAATGACGACGACCCAAACGCGGCCCGCAACGATGGCTGGGGGCAATCGCCGGCCCCTGCCCTCATTGCCCTGCCTGTTTCGCCTTGGCCCGTGTCCCGCTCGCCCTCTGCCCTAGCCCTGGCTGTCCCTGGCTGTCCCTGGCCTCGTCGGGAATCATCCTGGCCTGGCCTGCCTCTCCTTCTGGCTCGCTCGCCCTCGTCTGGCCCCCTGCCCCCACGCCCCTCTCGAGCCAAGCCTGCCCAGCCCAGCCCAGCCCGCCCAGCCAACGCATCGTCGCCGGCGGTATATAAACGCCGACCTTGGCGCCGTCGCTCCTTCTTCCTGGCCCACCACCACCGCACCACCGCCACCCAGCATCCACCACTGCACGCCACTTCCACACAACCTTGCCATCGTTGCTTGCCAAACATTTCCACCCGCACACCCACACGCACCATGTCCGCCCTCGACGCCCTCAAGCAGTACACCACCGTCGTCTCCGACTCGGGCGACTTTGAGTCGATTGACGCCTACAAGCCCCAGGATGCCACCACCAACCCCGTGAGTGTCCTTGCCGACGAGCCGTAGCCCCGCCGTCGCCCTGCCGGTCCCGGTCGCCGAGTCAGCGTGGCGCCGGTGTCGGAGATCCGTCCGCCTCGTTCCAGGTGGATGGTGGTGCGCCGTAGCACCTCGTCCTTCGCCTCCAAGAACAGACGGCGGACCGCGATCCGCCAGATGGCCAGCCCGGCAGCCGCCCGGCAGGACCAGCCGAGGAGACGACGCAGAGCAACCATGCTGACCCGCACATCCCTCTCCCTCTCCGCCGCGCCATTCCTGGCCCCGGTCCACCTGATCCCGCCTGCAGTCGCTCATCCTGGCCGCCGTCAAGCAGGAGAAGTACGCTCGCCTGATTGACGTCGCGATCAAGTACGCCAAGGAGAAGGGCGGCGACAAGCAGGCTCAGCTGCAGAACGCCACCGACCGCCTGCTCGTCGAGTTTGGCATCGAGATTCTCAAGATTATCCCCGGCCGCGTTTCGACCGAGGTCGACGCCCGCCTGTCGTTTGACCGCGAGGCCACCGTGGCCAAGGCCAAGCACCTGATTGCGCTGTACGAGGAGAACGGCGTCAAGCGCGAGCGCGTCCTGATCAAGATTGCCTCGACCTGGGAGGGCATCCAGGCCGCCCGCGAGCTCGAGCGCGACCACAACATCCACTGCAACCTGACGCTCCTCTTTGGCTTTGCCCAGGCCGTCGCGTGCGCCGAGGCCGGCGTCACGCTCATCTCGCCCTTTGTCGGCCGCATCCTCGACTACTACAAGAAGGCGAGCCCCGAGCAGGACTACAGCGGCGCCAACGACCCGGGCGTCAAGTCGGTCCAGAAGATCTACAACTACTACAAGCAGCACGGCTACAAGACGATTGTCATGGGCGCGTCGTTCCGCTCGACGTCCGAGGTGCTCGAGCTGGCCGGATGCGACTTCCTGACGATTGCGCCCAAGCTGCTGGCCGAGCTCAAGGAGGCCAAGGGCCCCGTCGAGCGCAAGCTGTCGCCCGACAACGCCAAGGCGGCCGACGCCCAGGACAAGGTCAGCTACGTCGACAACCAGTCGGCGTTCCTGTTTGAGCTGGCCAAGGACCCCATGGCCAACACCAAGCTGGCCGAGGGCATCGCCGGCTTTGCCAAGGACGGCAACACGCTCGAGGAGCTCCTCTCGCAGAAGCTCTGAGCGAGGTTGGCGCGCATGCCCCTCGCTTCCCCTCGCCTCGTTTCGTCCCTCTCTCTCTCTCTCTCTCTTGACCGCCGGCGGATACGGTGTGGCGCCGTCCTCGACCCCCTCCGTCCGTCGGCGGCCATGCCGTCGCAGCCCGACGGCAACGATACCGCCACGCCCTTCTAGTCTTCCCTCTGCGTCCACGCCTGAGAGCATGTAATTTGTCCCGCTTTTGTCGTTGTCGCCGAGCCAAACAGTAAAGACCAAAAAGAATCGATCGCATCGCATAGCAGTCACCTTTTTTCGCCTGGGCAGAGCAGTGCGAGGGCGACGTCGTCGAGGTTGCGCAGGGTATGCAGAGGAGAGAGCCAAGTGTTGGCGGCGCGCGGTGAGACCGACGAGCAAGGTCGTGCTCCAGCTCCAGCTCCAGCTCCAGCTCCAGCTCCAGCTCCAGCTCCAGCTCCAGCTCCAGCTCCAGCTCCAGCTCCAGCTCCAGCTCCAGCTCCAGCTCCAGCTCCAGGTCTAGCTCGAGATGGAGTTTGACATTGAGCTAGTATCGGTGCGGGCAGGGCGGAACGAGGGCTGGGGAGCGACGAGGTCGAGGGATGGAGCGCGGCGATCTGCCTTTGATGGGCGCAGTGGGCATGGCCTTGTCGCGCCTTTGCGTGGGTGACTCGTAGGCAGCGCACGCACACAGGCGCAGGCCGGCCTTTTTCTTCCACCCCAGCCCGCAGGCCCGGGGGCTGCTTGGCCGGTTGGCTGGCCTTTGCAGAGGCCCGCGCCGGGCGGCTGCAAGCAAGCAAAGTGGAGTGGAGCGAGCGGGTCTTTGAGTGAGGGTCGGTGTTGGTTGGTGGCCGCTCCTCGCCTGCCTGCTTGCCTGCTTGCCTGCTTCGACTTGGGGGCGCTTCATTTGCTGCCGCCGCCGCCGTGCTTGCCACCCAGCCTCGCTTGATGACCACCACCACCTCCTTCCCCGCGCCATTCCCTCACTCCTCTTCCATCGGCATCGACGCTCTCGCCCTTCCTTTGTCTGCATCTACGCTACGCTCCACTCGGCTCCGCTCCACCTGTCTCCACGGCTCTCGAGTCCACCCGCGACGCTCCCTCATCCTCATACCCCTCGTCGCTCCACGCTCCTCGCTCCACGCGCTCAACAGCGACCCCAGCAGCCACCCACCAGATTCCCCCTAACATCTCTCGCTCCCTCCTCACCCCATCCGCTACCCTCCACCACACGGCCACCGCACATGAACGGCGTGATGCATACGCTCGACGTCCACTCCGCGCCGCCCTCGTCGATCCTCGCCCTCGACCACATCCGCGGCGTCCTCCAGCGCCTCGAGGACACCATCGTCTTCCAGCTCATCGAGCGCGCACAGTTCGCCCGCAACCCTCGCTGCTACCTCCCCGGCGCCTTTGCCGAACTCAAGCAGCGCGAAAACTGGTCTGGTTCCTGGATCCAGTGGTTCCTCAAGGAGACAGAGACTACCCACGGTGAGGCCTCCCTTCCCCCTCCCGCGCGCGCTGCCTGGCGAGGAGAGCGTTCGACGGCGAGGACGCTGCTGACATCCACCTCCGTGCTCGGTCCCTACTTTCTTTCGCTGGCTGGCACACCGCATTGCAGCCAAGCTGAGACGATTCGAGGCGTGAGTGGTCATCGCCTGCTGCCCCGCTTAAGGGACGCGCGCGCAACGCCCCCCATTCTGCAAGCATCGCGCTGACCCTCTGCTTACACGCATCGGCTCCATCTGCTCCCTCTGTCCACCCCGCCGCCGCGCCGCCGCGCCGTCCGCAGCCCCGACGAGTACCCCTTCACCTCGCCCGAGCTGCTGCCCAAGCCCGTCCTCGAGCCCGTCACCTATCCTAAGCTCCTGTGGCCCCACAAGGTCAATGTCAACGACAAGATCCTCCAGTTCTACATCGACGACATCGTGCCCACCATCACCCGCAACCTCGGCGAGGTGAGCAATGACCGCGCGATGCAGCGACTGCCGGCTGCGGACGGTCAGCAGCGCCCAAGGCTGACCCCCGTCACCGGCACACTCCTTTCACCTGCCTCTCACCCACCTCTCTCTCTCTCTCTTCGTCCCTCTTTCGCCGCACAGGACGGCGACGACGGACACTATGGCTCGTCGGCCATCCGCGACTGCGAGGTGCTGTCGGCCATGAGCCGCAGGATTCATTTCGGTGCGTCTTCGGTCGCAACGGCAGGCTGGCAAACACGCAGGCGCACCGGGGCGCGGCTCGCCATGCCTCGGGACCCCACGCCGCGTCAGCGCCAGGGACGACCCACAACGAGAGGATGACCCGCGCTGACCGTCGTGCCTGTTGCCCTGCCTCGCTCCATGCAATTCTGGTCTTTGCGCCGACCTCGGTTGCGCCGTCCGTCCTGCCTTCTCGCGCGCGGACTTGCCCTTCCCATCCCCCTCTTCGTTCCGCCGGACGGCAGGCATGTTTGTGGCCGAGTCCAAGTTCCGTTCGGAGCCGGCGTCTTTTATCCCGCACATCCGCTCGCGCAACCGCGACGAGCTGGCCAACCTCATCACCAAGCCGGCCGTCGAGGCGGCGCTGCTGGTGCGGCTGGGCAAAAAGGCCGAGGTCTACGGCCAGGACATGAACCGGCCGGGCGCCACCGACGAGGAGCGGGAAAAGGAGCGCAAGATTGAGGTCGAGGCTGTCGTGCGCATCTACAAGAACTTCGTCATTCCCCTCACGCGCGATGTCGAGGTGGGTCACGGGAGAACCCAGTAGACCCGATGTCGAGGAGAAGAGCAGGGAAGAGCAGGGAGGCTGAACTGACGCGTGTTGTTTGTCGTTTGTCGTTTTCCGTTGTCGCCCCATCTCGGTCGTCTGGCTGGTCGTCGTTGGTGGCGAATGGCCAGGTCGACTACCTGCTCACCAGGTGAGTGTGCTCTCCCTCTCTGGCCCCGCACGTCAGCCTGCCGTGCGGGCATCCGGCTGACTCTGTCCACCCGGGCCCCATCCTCCCTCTTCTCCGCACACCCCTACCCCCAACGCTCCGCCCCGACAGGCTCGATGGAGTGTCGGACGACGAGGTCAAGACGATGCTAGAGACGAACCGCTACCCGGAGACGGACTGAGAGACGAACCGCAACACGGACACGGACCGAGCCTAGAGATGGAGATCCGGGTGCGCCGGTCGCGGGTCAGGCATAGAGGACGACGAGAATGCAGACCAGTCGGACGCAGCGTCGCGTCGACGCCGAGTGAGAGTGCAAAGCATGGTTGCACAGGGAGGAACAGGAGAGACGGAAGGAGAGAGTGTCCGGGACGATGCGAGACGAGGGCAGTAGGGGGTTCAGGGCTGGAACAGAGGTATAGGCATGCTGTCGAGGCCAGGGAGCGTGCTTGAGCGGGTGGAGCATGTACAAAGTAGAGGGAAGGGATGCCGTGGCGCGATGGCGACGAGGAGGCAGGACGAGGCAGGAGGAGGCAGGAAGAGTCGGGTGGGAAAGGGATGGCGAGGACTTGGCGTGTATACGTCGCTCTGGCATCCTTGCTTGCGTCCATCCGTCCACCGTCCACCTGGGTCCAGTCCAGTCGAGCGAGCGAGAGAAGTGCTCGTCAAAGCAAACGACGACGGGCTCCGGGGATGAAGGGCGTCGTACGGATCACTTTGGCGGGTATCCACCATAGCCCTGTGGCGGTCCATAGCCACCGTAGCCACCCTGACCACCGGGTGGGGGGCCGTGGTAACCTCCGCCGCCGGCCATGGCCTGTTGGGGCTGGAATCCGCCGCCCTGTTCCGTCTGCCACTGGCATATGCCGCAGATGTAGATGTGCTTCTTCTTGAGCGGGATGAGGGGGATCCAGCACAGCTCGAACCACGTGCGCGACTTGGCCGTCACCACCTGCGCATTGTGGCAGCGCGGGCAGACGTAGGCGCCGCCCGAGCCCTCGGGCTTGATCTTGGTCGGACACCCGAAGATGACGGGGATGAAGAAACAAAAGTCCTGCCGGGTGCAGGCACGCACGCACGCGCACGAGAAGCAGGGGGGTTGGGGTGAGGATTGGGTTAGAACTGCGACGCGGGGAGTGGTCAGGGCCAGAGGGAGACAGACGAGGGGCAACGTACCATGGTTGTCGCTGCCTAGACGGATGTCGTGTGCCCCCAAGCGTTGTGGATGCGGAATGGGATGGTGTACGCCTTGCTCTGGTCTCGTTGACTATCCAGACGGCGTCGATGTGCGAGGTCAAACGACGGCTCTGCTTTGACGACAAAGGTGCTGGTGCGATTGGCGGTGGTGGTGGTGGTGGTGGTGGTGGCGAACGATGGTGATGGTGGGGTGAGCGAAGCCCGCGACTGCTGTGGCACCGCACGGCACCGAGGGACCGACGAGCGAGACCAAGCCAAGCACAGCACAGCCCAGCCAAGCCCAGGCAAGCCAAGCCAGCAGCGCAGGCAGGCCGGGTGGGGCTGCAGGCGAAGCCGTTGTCGTGCATTCCTGCCTGCCTCGACTCGACTCGTCTGGTCCAGCAGGCATGCAACGCTGCCTCCACCGTGACGTCAGGTGCCGCCCCAGGAGGATGGGTTCGAATCGGGCAAGGGCAGGCGCCTTCTTGATAAGAAGCAACGAAGCGCTGGCTGGCTCGCTCGCTGGCTTTGGCCGGTGAAAGCGCGCGCAACTGCGCAAGACAAACGCGCGCCCTGGCTGGACCCTGAGGCTATCGAAGCTTGCAGCAGCTGCCGCCCGCCTGACCTCAGGTAAGCCTGCCTGGCCTGCTGCCCGCTCACCAGGAGGCCCACAGACCAACACCTCGCCCTCGCTGCCCGCTTCCCTCCTTGGCCATTGCTCGTTGTCGCCACCACCCCGCTCCGCTCCGCTCCTTGTCGCCCCGCCCGCCCCTGCTAGCATCTCCACTCCCCTTTCACTCCATTCCCCCCCTCCCGTCAAAATGGCAGCACCAGCGACCACGACAACGGCGACGACACCGACGGCAGCACCAACACCGCCCTCGGCCGTGGCAGAAAAGCCGCGGCAGAAGTCGGTCATTGTCATCGGTGCCGGCGCAGGCGGTACCGCCCTCGCGGCCAGGCTGGGCAGGCGCGGCTACAAGGTCACCGTCGTCGAAAAGGTGAGCAGCCAGACGCTCACCGCTGTGGCCCGGTGCGGACTGCTCCAGCTGACCATCCCCTCGGCCTTCATCTACGTCCGCTCCTGGCACGTGCTTTTTTGTCCGTCCCTCCCCTCTCGCTTCCCTCGCTTCCTACGCTTCCCTCCCTTTCAAAGAACGACTATGGCGGCGGACGATGCTCGCTCATCCACCACGACGGCCACCGCTGGGACCAGGGCCCGTCGCTCTACCTCATGCCAGAAATCTTCGAGGCCGCCTTTGCCGACCTCGGCCAGGACATCAAAGACCACCTCGAGCTGCACCAGTGCAACCCCGCCTACCGCATCCACTTTGCTGACGGCGAAAAGCTCCAGCTCTCGTCCAACCTCTCCCAGATGGGCGACATGCTCGCCAAGTTTGAGTCGCGCGCCGGCAACGACAAGCCCCTCGGCTCCTTCCTCGACTTCCTCCGCGAGGCCGGCGAAAACTACGAAGAGTCGATCCAGCACGTCCTCACAAAGGACTGGAGCGCGTGGTGGGCCTTTTTCCGCCCCGAGCTCTTCCCCATGCTCTGGAAGACCAAGGGGCTGCGCATCTACGCCACCCTCTACGACCGCGCCAGGTGAGCGGGCCGAGCCGTGCCGTGCGGGCATCTCGTCGTCGATGCACAACAGACGCAGACGCAGAGCTGACGTCGCTGGTGTCGCTGCTCTGCTGCCACTCCTCGCTTCCGGGCATGCCTCCCCTCCCCCGCCTTCCCCACATCTTTTTTTCCCGCGCGCCCGCCACAGCAAGTACTTCAAGTCGAAGCACGTGCGTCGCGCCATGACGTTTTCGGCCATGTACATGGGCATGTCGCCCTTTGACGCGCCGGCCACCTACAGCCTGCTCCAGTACGCCGAGTACGCCAAGGGCATCTGGTATCCCATCGGCGGCTTCTACAAGGTCGTCGAGGCGTTTGAGCGCATCGCCCGGGACCGCTTCGGCGCCGAGTTCCGCTACAATGCGTCGGTCAAGCGCATCGTCACGGACCGCGCGGGACGCCGCGCCACGGGCGTCGAGCTCGACGACGGCGAGGTGCTCGAGGCCGACGTCGTCGTCAGCAATGCCGACCTGGTGTGGACCTACAACAAGTGAGTGACCGGCGCGGTCGGAGCACCCGCACGACGCAGCCGGGCATCTGCTTAGTCTTCCCTCCCTTCCCCTCCCCCTGCCCTCTCTCGCTATCTTGCTCCTCTGCCGCCCCTGCCGCCCCGCTCGACACAACAGCCTGCTGCCGACGTCCGGGTACGCCAAGCGGCTGCGCTCCAAGGACCAGACGTGCTCGTCGATCAGCTTCTACTGGGCGCTGTCCGAGGTGGTGCCCGAGCTCGGGGGCCACAACATCTTCCTCGCCGATGCCTACCAGGAGTCGTTTGACGAGATCTTCCGCGATGGCGACACTCCGTCGGAGCCGTCGTTCTACGTCAACGTGCCGTCGCGGCTGGACCCGAGCGCGGCGCCGGCGGGCAAGGACACGGTTGTCATCCTGGTGCCCTGCGGGCCCATTTCCATTCCGGAAAAGCCGGCGGGCGACGCGACCAAGGGGGCGCACACGCGCGAGCAGTTTGCCAAGACCAAGGAGCGCGCGCGGCGCCAGGTGCTCGAGACGATCAAGCGGCGCATCAACCGGCCCGACTTTGAGGATCTGATTGAGCACGAGATCGTCAATGACCCCTTTGACTGGGCCGACAAGTTCAACCTGTTCCGCGGGTCGATTCTCGGGCTGAGCCACACGATCCCGCAGGTGCTGTGGTTCCGGCCGTCGATCAAGTGGGTGTGGCTCGTGGCGTTTTTGGAGCGCCGTGATTAGGGATGCTGACTGTCCGCCCTTTTTCCTGGTTTGCCGCCGATTGGCAGGCACGCAAGCATCGACAACCTCTTCTTTGTCGGGTGAGTATCGTCATGGCGTGGCGTTGGGCCTGCCCACGCTCGACTGGCAGTCGCTGACGTCGCTTTTCCTTGCCTTGACTCTTTCTCTGTTGGCGACAACGGTAGAGCGTCGACGCAGCCGGGTACGGGCGTGCCGGTGGTGGTGGCGGGGAGCGGTGTGGTGGCGGAGCGGATCGACGCGTTCCTGCGCGGGCGGGAAAAGGGGTGGCTGTCGGTCGAGGCGCTGCGTGGGAGCGCGCTGCTGGCGGTGCTGGTGCTCGTTGGCCTGGCCGTGACGGGGCTGGCGTTTGGGGTGGTGGCGTTTGGCGCTGTGATTGCGCTGCTGCTCCACTGGAGCGGCCTGGTCGACGTGCCGGGCACCGTGTGGCAGAAGGTGGTGCCCGAGTGAGGCGGCGCCCGGTGCGGCGGCGCGAGCGGACGGACGGACGGACGGACGAGGTGAAGCGGGGCGTGAGCGAGTGGCCAGCCTGGCCAGGCCAGGCTAAGCGTGACGCGACCTCGTGCTGTCGCCCTTGTTGCGCTCGCCTCGATGCAAAGGGGAGCAACGTCGATCCGAGATCGGTGCCCATCGTGCCACTCGTTCATCCGTCGATGCCATGCGATGCGATGCACCCATTGGATCAGCAGAATACCGGTATCGGCGTGCCGGATGCGCCTCAGCGAGCTACCGGTGGCTCGCCCAGCCCAGCCTAGCTCGGGGATACAGATACGACAGACGAGGAGCTCGGCTGGCCTGGCCTGGCGAGATGGCCGGCCAGTGAAGGTCGATTCGCCGGTCTCGTCGCCTCTACTGTAGCCTTGGCCGTCGTCGCTCCTGGCTAAGGGCACCATTGTCGTGTCCTTGGCGCCACTACTACCGCACCGCTGCGTATCCTACCGCGACGACACCACTTTGGCCTGACCTGGCCAAGCCTGGCCAGGCTTGGTCAGGCTTTCGACGCTACGCGCACCCGTGCTCGCTCTCGAGGATGCGCTGCCAGGCCAGGCCAGGCCGTTGCGCGGGCAGGTGCCGAGCCTCGCAGGCGAATGGCTGCAAAAAGGCCCCCGGGGGCGGCGGGAAAAATCGCCGAAAATGCCCCGCCCCATCCCCGCTACCCGCCCCAGCCCCAGCCCCATCGCTTCGTTTCGTTTCGCTCCGCTCCGCTCCGCCGTACGTGCATGCGCTCGCAAGCAGGCGGGCCAGGATGCAATGGCATCGGAGCACGCCCTCCTACCGAGCCAGCGGGCGAGGTTCGGCAGCACCACCACCCACCACCACGACGACGACGACGACGGCCGCCCACCTCAGCTTCAAAGCTTGTCTTCGGAAAAATTCCAGCCGGTCGGTCTGTCGTCGCTTCGCTGCCATGGCCGGGCTCTCCACAACAAGCTACTGTACCGGTAGGTAGCGCCTCTCGCGCCCTTTGGGGTCGGAACGGTACAGTAGCCAAGCTGGGATGAGGCGTGGGCAAGCGAGCTCGCCCGGTACGGCACATCCCGTCCGCCCCCTCCTCCCGACGACCGGTTCCCACACACCTGGGCCACCTGGCAAGCGCCCAACGACGAGGCGCGGCGCGGGGCGGCGCGGGGCCCCAGATCCGCACATGCCCAACGCCGCCTGGACAGGCCGGCTACGTATATAACAGCTGCATTGTTCTTCCTCGCACACCCTCCTCTCACCCTGTCATCCTCATCCTCCCTCCCCCCTCGCCATCCCTGCCGTCCCTGCTGCCCTCGCTGCACCCCCTCGCCATGGTCCGCCTCCTGCACCCCTTCACGTCGCTGCTGCCCCTCGCCAGCGCCCTCGCCCTCGCCCTCGCCCTCGGCCCGACGACGGCGTGGGCCTACAACAACGGCCTGGCGCGCACGCCGCAGCGCGGCTGGAACACGTGGAACTCGTACGGGTGTTCGATTTCCGAAGACGTCATCCTCGATGCGGCCCAGGCCATCGTCGACGAAGGGCTCGACCGGCTCGGGTACGAGTACGTGATCATCGACGACTGCTGGCAGGGCGCGCGGCGCGACAACGACACGGGCATCATCCCGGCCGACGCGGTGCGCTTCCCCAACGGGCTGCGGCACGTCGTCGAGCGCATCCACGCCCTCGGCCTCAAGGCGGGCATCTACTCGTCGGCCGGCACCATGACGTGCGGCCGCCGCATCGGCAGCCTCGACCACGAAACCACCGACGCCAACGCCTGGGCCGCTGACGGCTTCGACTACCTCAAGTACGACAACTGCTTCAACCAGGGCCGCAGCGGTACCCCGGACCTCTCCCACGCCCGCTACGACGCCATGAGCAAGGCCCTCAACCAGACCGGCCGCCCCATCCTCTACTCGATGTGCAACTGGGGCGAGGACGCGCCGTGGCTCTTTGCCACCGAGATTGCAAACTCGTGGCGCATGTCCGGCGACATCTACCCGTCCTTTGACCGCGACGACGACCGCTGCCCCTGCACCGACATCACCCAGTGCAAGCTGCACGGCTACCACTGCTCGATTGCAAAGATCCTCGAGTTTGCCGCGCCCCTCGGTCAAAAGGCCTACCCGGGCGCCTGGAACGACCTCGACATGCTCGAGGTGGGCAACACGGGCCTCTCGCTCGACGAGTCCCTCGTCCATTTCAGCATGTGGGCCATGCTCAAGTCGCCCCTCATCCTCGGCAACGACGTCACCGCCATGACCAACCAGACGCGCGCCATCATCGCAAACACGCACGTCCTCGCCCTCAGCGACGACCCGACCGGATCGCCCGCCATCCGCTTGTGGAAGAAGCCCGTCTCTTCGTCGTCGTCGTCGTCGTCGTCGAGCGGCGGCAACGTTCAGCTGTGGAAGATGCCCCTCGACAACGGCACCTACGCCGTGGCCGCCGTCAACCTCTCGCCCGAGGCGCACACGCTCTCGATCGACTTCGACGACGTCTTCTACGACGAGCACCTCGAAAACGACGACGCGGCGCAGCGCTCCTGGGACGCCTTCGACCTGTGGTCGGGCGTCGATTTCCACACCTTCGACCCGACGCCCGCGCCCTACGACCGGATCCGCCTCGACGCCTCGCCGTTTTCGCGCTCCATCCCCAACATCACGGTGCCCCGCCACGGCATCCGGCTCCTCAAGCTCGCCCAGGCCGGCACGCGGGGCATGGGCATGTCCAAGGACGAGATGCAGAGGCGCGACCTGGAGCGCAAGGCCAACGTGCGCATGGGCCGCGCAAGGGAGTGGATGGCGGGCAGGCAGGAGAGGCGGCTCGACGCCAGGGGTCTCTAGAAGGTGTCGCCGAGGCGGCAGTAGGGCGCCAGGAGGAAGAAAAGGCACCGCCGATGCTGCTGCTGGACCTGTGTCTCGAAAGGGTGGCCGGCATGTGTCTAGGCGCAGAACGACTGGATCAGCTCAGAGTACACGTCGACCATTGTCTTGATGGATTCGACCTCGACCCACTCGTCGTGCGCGTGGATCCCTTGGCCGTGCGGGCCGACGACGACGCTGGGCACGCCGGCTTGCGAGAAGAGGGCGGCATCGGTCCAGAACTGGCCGCCAGTCTTGGCCGCCGGCCGTCCCGTGGCCTTGGACGAGGCTTCCATGACGGCGTCTTGGAAATCGCGCTGGGCGTGTTCGACCAGCGGGGGTCGGACCGTGCCCATGTCGAGCGACCAGCTGAATCCCTCTCGGTGCGGCGGCAGGGAATCGAGCAAGCCGAGCAGCTCGGTGCGGAACGTGGTGTCGTCCTCGCCGGGGAGGGTGCGGCGCTCGAGGACGACGGTGCACTCGGACGGGTAGGTCGACACCTCGTCGCCGCCCCGGATCGTGCCGGCGTGTGCGCTCGGGCGGCCCAGGATCGGATGGCGTCGCTCCGGATCGTCGAGGAGCGCGGCGGCGTAGGCGCGGAAGGCGCAGAGGAAGGCGCCCATCTCGGCAACGGCGTCGCGGCCCTGCTCCCACAGCGACCCGTGCGCCGCTCGGCCGTGGACGCACACCGTGGCCCATACGAAGCCGCGGTGCATCGTGATGACCTGCTCGTCGGTCGGCTCTGGGAACACGGCTCCGTCGATGGGCAGTCGCCGCAGCGGCGGCGCTTGGTCTTCGTCGTGCTGCTGCTCAAAGTAACGCAGGATGTCGTAGGATCCGCGCGATGCGTCCTCTTCGTCTGCGACGGCGGCTATCCACACGTCGCCGCGCAGGGGGCAGGATGTAGAGTGGGAGACAAACGAGGCGGCAGCGACGAGCGCACATGCCAGGCCGGCCTTCATGTCCGCCGCGCCGCGTCCGTAGACCCTGCCGTCCCTCAGCTCGCCGCTGAAGGGATCGGTGGCGTAGTTGGACACCGAGACGGTATCGATGTGGCCGTTGAACAGAATGGAACGTGGTCGACCTAGCCCCAGCTCTTTGGCCTGTGCGTCGGCAGTGGTGGTGGCGGTGGCGGGAGGATGGGTGCGACCGCGGTGGACGGCCAGGACGCTCGGGCGACGCGGGTCAGAGGGCTCGAGGGGGATGATCTCGAACCCCCTCGTCGTGAGCCACTCGACGAGGAAGGCGGCGATCCCCGACTCGCCGGCCGCCTCACCCGTGCGGGATAGCGAGGGGCTGGTGGAATCGATGCGTACGAGCTGGCGCGTCAGTTCAACGGCCGCGTCGTGCAGCGATGCACGGCATGGTGCGGTGGTGGTCATGGTGGCGTCTCGAGTGTGGGTTGACGACGGAGTGAGGGGGATGGAAGTGAAGGATGGGCGGAGCGAGGGCCTTGTCGAGAGGTTGACGGGGGCATGCGAGAAGGCCGACCCCCTTATACCCCCGCCTACCGCCCTGGCCCAACTGTTCGCATGTGAGGAGGGCCAGTGTCCATCGACCAGCAAAGGGCTAGGGTGAAGGATGGTGGTGGAGAGGAAGAGGGAGCCAGGGAGCGAGGCGAGGTCGTTTGCGAGGCCTGACCAGGCCAGGCAGGTCCGAGCGTGGCTCGGTCTCGCTCGGACTGCACCGCCCGCGCCCGACCAGGCCTGGCAGCCTATCAGGCCTCGGACCGCACCCACGCCCGCCGCTCGCACCCGTCCGCCCGCCCATTTTGACCGCTCTTTTCGCCCGCCTTTTCACCGCTGTCAAACCGCTGGCCCGCAGGCACGCCAACCACGCAGCTCCGTCCGAGGCATAAAGAGGAGCGTGGACGGGTGCCGGGGGCATGGCGGGCCTTGTCGTCTCCCTCGCTCTCCACGTCCATCGACGACCGCTCCTCGCTCCCCGCTCCTTCGTCTCGTCTCGACTCGACTCGACTCGACAATGTCCAACCCGCCGACGATCCTCGTCAACCCATCCTACGACCCAACAAGTCTGCGCGGCCAGGGCGACGATTCACCCACCTCGTCGTCGTCGGCGTACACGTTCCACCGCACCGTGCTACCGGGCTACGCACCCACCGCTCTCCTCCCCCTGCAGACGCCGCCGAGCGCCTCGAAGCGCTTCAGAGGTCGGGTGTACCTCAAGGCCGAAAACGACCGGTACGCCCTGCCGGCGTTCAAGGTGCTCGGCGCGGCGTGGGCCTCGTTCCTCTCCCTCTGCGACGAGCTCCACCTCGACGCGCAGAGCACCACCCTCGATGCACTCCGTACCGCAACCAGCGAAAAGAGGGCGGGTGCGGGAGCGGGAGAATTGGAAATGGTGGCCGCCACCGATGGAAACCACGGTTGTGCGGTCGCGTGGTTCGCCAGCCTCGTCGGGATACGCGCCCACATCTTCACTCCGGGCAACGTCTCGCCCCCCTCGCGCGCGCGCATCCGCTCGATGGGGGCGCAGGTGTGCGTGACGCACCTCGCCGACCTCGACTATGACGCCGCCGTACAGCGTGCCGCCGCCTACGCTGCCGACGCAACGTCGACGACGACGACGAGGTTGTTGATCCAGGATACGGCGTGGGAGGGCTACACGACGACGCCGCAGCGCATCGTGGACGGCTACACGACCATCTTCACCGAACTCGATCAACAGCTCCACGCTGCTGCTGCTGCTGCTGCGGCTGTGGAGGCGGCAGAGGGGCGCAATGGCGGTGCACCGAGCCATGTCATCGTACCCGTCGGCGTCGGATCGCTCGCGCAGGCCGTGGTGCAGCACTACCACCAGCGCCGCCCTCGTCCCGACGACGCAGTCGCGACGCGCGTCGTGAGCGTCGAACCGACGACGGCGGCGTGCCTGTCGCACTCGCTCCTCCTCGGACGCAACGAGGCCATCGAGACGGGCGAGACCATCATGCCGGGCCTCAACTGCGGCACCGTCTCGGACCTCGCCTGGCCCTCGCTCCGCACCGGCATCGCGGCCGCCGTCCAGGTCGACGACGCCGCCGTCGAAACGGCCATGCGCCACCTCGAGGCCATCGATGGCGTCGTCGCCGGCCCGTGCGGTGCCGCCCCGTTCGCGGCGCTCTCGACCCTGCTCGAGAACGAGGACGAGGCGCAGCGCCTCGGTCTCCTTGACCGCGACGACGTCAGCGTCGTCCTGCTCATGACCGAGGGCAAAATGGAGTGTGAATAGAGGCCGGTGCAGAGTAGAGGATCAGGAGAGGAGCACCTGTTTGTCCCGCGATAGACCGCAGCAATCCAGGATCTTGGCCCAGTCGTGCAGACCGAGGTGCTGCCGTCAGGAGGTAGCGTAGATGTGGGGGTGAGAGGAAAAGTCAGCAGGCCGATATGGTTCTGGACATTCGGTGCGGTGCCCAGTGGCAGGCTGGCCGAGACTACTCACCTCTTGCCCCTCGCCCTGATCCGCCGTCTCCCACATCTGTTCGAGGACCAGCTGTGTGCACGCGAGACTGTCCCGTTTCCGGTCGAGGGAAGCATGCAGGCTACCGCCTTCTGGGCCCGTTCTGCGATCGCGCCGTCGCGTCTGCACCGACCCAGCCAGCCTGTCCAAGCTCGCCAGCAGCGCAGCCCTCGTCGGCCGTCGACGGACGAGGGACGCGGCGACAAAGAACGGCAGGGCGAGGTGCAGGTGGAAGTAGTGGTGCGGCTTCTCGACGAAATCGGCCGTCCGCACCTTGATCGACTGCGAATCGAGCGAAGGGTTGAGCAGGTCGAGGGGCTGCAGCGTCGTGGCGAGGCGGAACCCCTCGAGCCCGAGGGCGAGGCAGGCAAAATCGACGTCGCTGTGCGGCGGCTGGTGGCCTTGGACCAACTGCTGCACCGTCAGCCGCACCACGTCAAAGAGGAGCCGCCTGAGCGCGGCGCTGCGCGGCGTCTCGTCGCTGTCGTGGTGGCACAGACGTCGAGACGGGGCCGGAGGTCGGCAGATGCGCAGTCGGGCCATCATGTGTCGTCGTTCCCGACCCAGCCGCGCATCCTCGAGGATCTCGAGCAGATCTGTGCTCCACGGCGTCATGTCCGTCAGCCCGCTTCGCTGGCAGCTGGCGGGGACGCCGCTGGCATCCTGACGATCCCACGCCCGCACCTTGGCAAAGAGCGGCTTCAACGACGCCTCGAGCCCGTCCGCCCTGGTGGCGCGGTAGAGCACTTCCTTCCAAAGTACGATGCGGCAGAGAACCTGCCAGCAGTCGCGCTCGGCGGCGTCCGTCTGGCCATCGCTGCCATTCGGGTCCTCTGCTTCGTCGCTGTCGAGCGCGAGGCCAGTCGCGGCTCGCCACAGCGTAAGGTTGTCGTCTGCGACGCCGCGGTCGATCTCGTCAAACAGCAGGGCCAGGACCGCGACCGAGACGATCGTGCACCGCTGGCGAAGCGCTAGCTGACCCCTGCGCCCTGGCCCAAGAAGCGAGTAGACCGACGACCGCGCGTGGTCGTAAAGCTGTCGCGAGCGCATCTCTGCCGCGGAGGCGAAGGTCGAGGTGGAAGCGGTGGCATGGCTCATCGCCGCGACGCCGTACGTCGAGCGGGCAAAGAGGGGCAGCGTGTCCTGGCCGCCAAGGCAGAGCCCGATGGAGGTGAATAGCTCAAGAACGGGTGGCGAAGAGGATGCAAGGACGGTGAATGTGCGAGCCCACGGGCTGGCGTAGAGGCTCGCGAGGAAGGCGTCTCGATCGTCGCCCGTCGGATGGGTGTAGGCTGGTGGGCTCCAGCGCAGACCTGGCGGAAGAAGCGGCGGCCTCACGATCAGCTGGGGTTCGCGCAGACAGAAGACGAGCGCAGAGGGGAGGGGGCGCCTTCGACTCACCTTGTAGGAAGCCGTACGCGTCGAGCGGGTCGCTCTGAGCCATGATGCGCTCGAAAGCGGCGCGGAAGCGGTCAAAACAGGGATCGACAGGGGGCGCCTCGGCAGAGAAAACGTCGGGTAGGTGTGCCTGCCACCATGGCGGCGGGGCTGGCGGCGCAGACGGAGATGTGAGAAAGGCCTGGTCGAGCAGCCCGAGCGAGGTGAGCGTGTCGGCCCATAGGGCGTCACTGTTTCCGAGGAGGAACGCATCGAAGGGCGTTGTCGCTAGCGGATCGAAGGGCGTGGTATGGTGTGCGGCGAGGGCGAGCGAAGACGGTGCGAGGGCAGCCAGGCCCTCTGCCGCTGCAGCTGTGCGAGGCGAAGAGGGCAGCACAAGTGCCGATCGACCGTCATCGTGAGGCGAGTCTGGCTGACGCGGGGTGCTGGATCTGCTCTGTGCTCGTCCAGCGCGTGAACCGGCGGCGCTGAGACTGGGCGAGGAGGGACGGGGGTGCTGGTAGCGGCACGTCCTCGCGGCCTGGCGGCATCGTTGGCAGAGAGGACGAGTCTCGTCGCACTTGACCTTGCGCTGCTTGCACGTCTCGCAGCCGGATCGGACGCGGCGTATGTCGGTCTTGCGAGGGCGGGGCATGCGAAGTAGGTGCGTCTGGTGCGCGCGCGGTCGGGCGGCAGCTGGCGGGTCGGCCAAGGTGGTGGCGGTGGTGGTCAGGATGGTGGTGGTTGGATGCGAGCCTGGGGTGCAATCCGACGCCCTCACCTTTTCCGAGATCGGGCCGCCCGTCGGCGCCTCGCCGCGTCACCCTCCTCTTCCCTCCCACACCCTCTCGCCATCAATCCATTGCGCACTCTGAGCCGCCATCGGTCAGCACAGGCGTAACTTACCATGATCCATCCGATGGAAGGTCATGTTCCGACACGGCCGGTTACATCAAGTGCTTTCCGAGGGCGAGCCCGACCCCGACATCGCCTTGCCGTCGAGTCGCTTCGGTCGGTTATAACTGCAGGCCCCCCAACGACACTCGCGTGCATGGTCATGGCAGCCAACCCCCCTCTCACATACAACAGCCATGACGAGCCGCCTACCCACCTCGCTGCACCGCACGCTGTCGAGGTACAAGCCGGGCGATCTGCGCATCTCGCCGTCACGGCTGCTCGACACCCTGCACCACAGCTGCCAGTGGGGCGCAGCGCATCGCTACGGCCCACAGCCGACCCAGACGGGCATGGCGCGCCTCTCGCTCGACGCCAACGACGCAAAGGTGCGTGCCTGGATGGCTCGAGAAGCCGAGGCGGTCGGCTGCCGCACCGTGGTCGACGGCGTCGGCAACCAGTTCTTCATCCGACCGGGAGACCGAGCTGATGCTGCACCCACAGCCATGGGCAGCCACATGGACACGCAGCCGACGGGAGGGCGGTACGACGGTATCCTCGGCGTCGTGGCCGGCCTCGAGGTGATGCGGACGCTGCACCACCGCGGCCTGCGGACGCGCTACCCGCTCGCCCTCGTCAACTGGACAAACGAGGAAGGCGCCCGCTTCCCACGCTCCCTCGCCGGCTCGGCGGTGTGGGCGGAGACGCTGCCCCTCGATCAGGCCTGGTCGTTGAAGGACGTCAACGACCCGAGCATTACGCTGAGGGACGCGCTCGTCGAAGCCCGGATGCTGGGAACGCACTGCGACCACCGCAGCCTGCCTCTGGCGGCCCACTTCGAGCTGCACATCGAGCAAGGTCCCATCCTCGAGCAGCGCGACAAGCGCATCGGCGTGGTGCTGGGCGGGCAGGCTTACAAGTGGTTCGACGTCGAGATCAGCGGCATGGAATGCCACACCGGCTCGACGCCCTACGAGTACCGCGCCGACGCGCTGCTCTGCGCATCCAGGATCATCGTCGAGGCGACCTTGATGGCAAAGGAGGTCGGCGCGCTCGCCAGCACCGTGAGTCCGTCGATCCCCCCTCGCTCCTGCTGCTTCTCTGCCATTGCCTGGCCAACTCACTTGCCTCCCCACTCATTGCTGCAGGGCATCATCGAAGCGAGACCGGGCAGCGTCAATACCTGCCCCGGCACGGTGCGCATGACGATCGACGTGCGCCACGCCCGATCCGACGTCGTGGCCGACCTCTGCCAGCGCATCCGAGCGCGTTCCGCCGTGCTGGGACGAGGAACGGGCGACAGGCACTGCACGGTGCGCTGGGACCAGACCTTTGAAAGCGACGCGGCCACGTTCGACCCTGCCTGTATCGAGGCCATCAGAGACGTAGCTGTGGCCACCGTGGGATCGGACCGCGTCCTGGACATGTACAGCGGCGCCGGACACGACTCGTGAGTCCCTGTCCAGCTACCAGTCTGCCGCTACGCAGCGCTTCCTCTGGTCCAGTCACTCACAGAAGCATTGATGTCGCTGTTCCCCTTTCGAGCGGACAGGTTTTCGACGAGCCTGCGCTGCCCGACGGGCATGATCTTTGTGCCGTCCCGCGACGGAATCTCCCACAACCCCTCCGAGTTTACTGAGCCCGAGCACTGGTAAGTCGGCCAGCAGGTCGTCCACGCAGCATTCCGGCCCTCCTGCTGACCTCTTTGCTCTCGCTTCTCATCGCTCGCAGTGCGCAAGGAGCTCAGGTGCTCCTCGATGCTGTTCTCCTGTACGATTCGAAGCGCGTTGCTTGATCAATGACTCGACGATGCGTTCGAGCGACAGAGGGCCGTGGGGCTTGACGAGGGCTTCATTCGACGGGAGAACGGGGGAAGGCTTGGTCAGAATCATCAGGTACAAGGCTGAACGACGAGAGGGGAAGCGAGGACGGCAGAGAGGCAGGCGTCAACGACAAAACAGGCAGCGAGCAAGCGAGAAAACGACCCTAGAAGAGCAGAACGATGGCCAGGCCGCAAGCGAAGACGGCAAGGACGACCTGTGCGACGGGGGCAGCAGCAGAGGTAGAGGCGGCGCCGCTCGAGTTCTTGGGCGGCGAGGCGGGCTTGGTGCCGTTCGTGGTGCCGTTGACGCTGCCGCCCAGGATCTGCATGGCAGCGGGCGTGTCGGGTCCGCAGAACCTCTGTGCGGTCGAGAGAATAGAAGAGGTTGTCAGGGTCAATTGATCACCTCGCCTTCTGCGTCGCCGGCAGAGATGCAATCGCGCCTCACCTGGAGCTCCCTCTCGAAGAAGGCCGCATGCTTGAGGCACTGGTTCTGTGCGCATCCAGAAGTAGCCTGGAGGAACTGAGCGCTGCGACGGCCAAGGGGACAACGCGAGGTTCATCGCGGCCGGCGAGAAGAGGATCCGATCAGCGACGTTTCTGTCTGGCTTCGTCACTGTACATGAGAGGAGCAGGGTAAGACGACGGCAGCTCGCGCTGGGACTCACTCGTGGCAGAGGCAAGCGCTGGGCGAGGTGGCGTTGTTGACGATTTTCTGGGTACAGGTCGAGTTGGCGATGGGCAGCGTCGAGCAGCCCTGGAAGCAGTCAAGGGCATCCTGGGGGATCTTGGGGCCCTTGCTGTCCGATCCGGCGTCGGTCGCGTTGCCAGAAGGCGTCGAGTTAGGCGCCGCGCCCGTGCTGCCGCCGATGATCTGCATGGCTTTGAACGCGTCGGGCCCGCAGAAGCTCTGGTTGGGAGGATGGCATGTCGATTGGAGGAGTGCGTGTCAGTCGTGCCAGGCCTGGCGACAGCAGTGGCAATGTCGGTCACTGGACGCAGGAGCTAGAGGTGACGCTGCGTGCTGGTACGCACCTCGACCTCGGTCATGACGTCCTGGACAAAGTTGAGGCACTTGTTGGTCACGCAGCCGCTGGCCCCGCGAAGAAAGTCGGCACTGGACAGCGCGAGCAAGAGTGAGCGGGGATATCGACGTTAAGCTCGCACTCGGGAGCGGCAGGACGAGATGGCCGAGAGGACCTCAACGAGCGCTAGCCACTCACTCGTTGCACAGGCACGAAGCAGGAGGAATGGGGTTGCTGGGCGTAATCTGCTTTGCGCATGGCGACTTGGAGATGGGGTTCTTGGAGCAGTCCTGGAAGCACGCCAGCGCCTGAGGATTAACGGCTGGGCCCGGCGGGGAGGATGCACTGCCGCTCGCCGTCGTGTTCGAGGGCGGCACCTTGTCATCGTCGTCCCGGTCCTGTGCCGCAACGAAAGCGCTCAGTACGAGTAGAGCCAAGAATAAAACAGAGGAGAAGTTGCGGGCCATCATCATGGTCGTCGTCGTCGTCGTCGTCGTCGTCGTCGTCGTCGTCGTCGTCGTCGTCGTCGTCGTCGTCGTCGTCGCTGTTGTCTTCGTGCTGGGGTCAGTAGCGATGGGGCGGGAAGAAGCAAGAGGCGGTGTCCGCGAATGGCCGTGATTGGAAGCAGCGGGGAAAAAGTGGGGCGACGAGGGCCCATCCGCCGAGGCTATATATACGCTCCCGGAGAGACCGAAGCCAGGTTGGGGTTGCACCGCGAGGGCTTCTCGCCCCACCCCAACACCGGCACCGTTCCGATTATTGAGCTCATTTGAGTCGTCGGCAGGCACCAGGCGCCCACCTTCGGAAGATGCATGGAAGCCAGGCCGAGCAACCGCCGTAGGGCCGCTCCGTGAGGGTGCGGAACTTGCCGACAGCACTCCGCCGCGGACGTTGCTGCGCAAAGAAAGAAATAGGCAGGCGTACCCCTCTGCTCTCAGCCACCTCAATGTGCGAGCTCTGTCGAACTTCAACATGGTATTGTGGTGCCGCAGAGCGTCATCACGTATCGTCTCAGGGTCTAGCGCAAAGGGACAGCGGGACGGACCAGCTCTCTGACTTTTGGCGGCGTGGCAACATGCGCCTGGCCCGACATCGAGCGACCATCAGCTCGCAGAAGAGGGAAGTTACCGGGGACTGATAGCCTCTCTTGCGGGCTTTGAGCCCATCCTCTGGTCCTGACGCTCGTCGGTGGCGGTGCTCGAGTTTGACCTTTGGCAAACTGCCGAAACCTTGCGGTGCCGAGGCGCGCTGCCGGGCCGACGCTCAAACCTTTCCTCTGCCGCGACCTGTGGCCTCACTGACCGTCCTCTCCCCCGCTCAGCTCGCTGTCATCCACCGGACGCACCCGACCGGGCTTGCCGGGCACCTTGTTCCAGACCTCGGGGATGCGTTCGGAGCGGTACAGCTGGATCTCGGCTGCGATCCGCTCGAGTCGGTGCCGCGCAAGCCTCGCCGCACGTCGGAAGTTGCCGTAGACAAAGGGCAGACGGGTCGCCAGGCTATCTTCATGCCCCTCGGCCGCGTCTCCGAAGCTGGTGGCGAGCTCGTAGTCGCTCCGGATCTTGCGGTGCTCGTCCTCGAGCTGCTTCAGATCAGAGCGCATCTTCTTGAGCGTGCGCCTGCTAACCGATGGCAGCCCTTGCTGTTGGGCAAAGGCGGTGCCGAGGTCCGACACGAGCTCGGCGGCCTTTCCGTCGGCCGCAATCGACCTGAGTACCTTGCTGAGCTCCGCCGTCCGCTCAAACAGGCTCAGCGGCTGCTCTCCGGCCAGCGTGGGAACGCGCACATCGACGACGTGAAACGCCTGGAACCCTTCGGGAGCCAGCCGACCGCTCGGAGAGAGGTGGGTGATCATGTCGTTGTAGGCGGCAAAAAGCTCCTGTGGGGGCAGAGGCACAGGCCCTAGTCGATCGATGGCTGAGCTCGACGAGGCTGGGAAGTTCATGGGCCTAACAGAGGCGAGGAGGGCTACGCAGAGGAAGGCGAGCAGGAGGCGCGTGGCAAGGCTCCCTCCCAGGCACATGGTGATGGCGATCGACATGGCGATGTCTGAGATAGAGGCAAGGAAGGGCTTGCAAGGGAGCGAGGGAATGGTCGCTCGAGAGAGTGATGGCAAGAGACACGACAGCTGGCGGCGCTCGAGGGTGGGCCTCGAAAGGCGACAGCTCCAAGAGCAGAGGCGGAAAGGTGGCTTGAGAGTGGAATGAAGGGCGTGGGGCGGCCTTTCGGGGCAGCGCCGGTCCACCATCGCAGCACTTGGTGGAAGCCCTCCCGAAGCTGCCGGCACGGAAGGGCCAAGGAGGGCGTCGAGTCAGTCGATCCCCCGACTGACGACGCTGACGGTGAGTCGGGATCCGCCAACAGCATCGGCCGCAAAGGGAATCGCTGCCAAGAGGATGGCCGCAAAACTAATGACCACAAAGAGGGCGCTCAGACATTGTTCAAAGACTTGGTGGCCAGCATCCTGCTCTATCCCCTCTTCCTGCCGTCTCGCCAGAGCGAGGCCCGCCACAAGGGACATCTGGCAATGAAGATGACCAGCGTTTTACGTCGTGGTCCGTCTCCTCGTCGTTTTCGGCGATGCCGCCCGCGAGTGGTTTGCTGAACCCGCACAGTCAGGTCCGCGGGGGGAACACAAGAAAGACCAGCGAGTATGGCAAGACTGCAAGGCACGAGGTTCGGCGTCGAGCACCTTGGGCATCGTCGCAGGCCCAGGCAGATCTTGCGTTGCGAGTCGGTCCGCAGAATTCGAACACGTTGCGAGCCGCGACTGAGACTGATCAGATCAGGTCCTCCGATCCTAGTCCAGCTGTTACCTGTAGCGACGGAAGAGAACAGCATCGTCTAGAGACGCTCGAGCGCGTCCGAGACCGTGCAGGGTGTGGTTCCGATAGCGCAGACGTCTTGGAAAGATGATGAGAGGGTGTCGGTACGCAGGAGGCGGAGATGGTGGAGAGAAAGAGGGGGCCTAACAGGTAGGCGGACGGGCAAATGAAGACCGACGCTCGGGCCCCCTCATGGCGGACCGACCACCCAGCCACGGCGCCTGCCAGGAAACTGCCACCCAACCTTCCTTCCCTTCCACCACCACCGTTGCAATCGCCGCACTTCCCTCTTCTCCGTTCAGCCCCCTCTCTTCGTATCAGCCACTTCCAAAAGCCCGGCTTTGCAGTCCGATCAACCCGCTGGTCCACCCTGTCGTGCCAGCCGCCAAGTTCCCCCGTCCCCCCTTGGACGCCACCGACCGCGAGCCATGCGCATCGACGAGTTCGAGGTCTGCGTCAACGTCTACAACGACGACGGCAGCACAGACCGCCTGGAGGAGTACAACGTCAGGCACGATGGAGGGTCTCGCGCCTCGGCCCACATCTGCTCGACAGATGGCGCTGTGTTTGGCTTCAAAGTCGACCGGGATCCAAGTCCGAAGCCACGGGAAGTGCTCATCAGGTTGCTCTTCGACGGTGAAGAGGCCAATTGGATGTTTTTCTACACCGCCAAGCGGGCGAAGGAGGTCGAGATTGTCGATTTCCATGTTACCAAGAGCCAGGCTAATCGTCCTCGGTAAGCCACTCTGGCGGGCACATGCCAACCAGCTGCCGGCAGGACACGTCACTGACGGGGCCGATCATCTCACACCTTGGCTTTCCGAGGCTTTTCCAAGGTCAAAAACTTCGAAACCTCCGAGAGCAAAGCGACAACTTCGCGCCTCGGCACGCTCGAAGTTCAACTCTATCTCGTCGTCTTCGCCGGAACCAAGCCCCGTGCCCCAATTGTCGGAGGCATCACATCTTCTCGTGTGGATGATCAGAGCCTCAAACGCCGAAAGCGGGATCAGGGGGTCCCTCTGACTCATCACGTCGGGTGAGCTTTGCTTGGCATCGCTTCATCATCTTTGCCTGCCGTCGGGCGCTCATGCCTCCTTTTTACCTTCTGCGCGTACCAGGGTCGGGGATGTCCAGGCAGCCTCGCCCCTGTCGGATACGGTCCCCAGCTACAAGGAGCTTCAGTCCGAGCCGATCGCCACGTTCACCTACAACTACGCCTCTCGGGACGTTCTCGAAGCGTGCGGCATCATCCAGGTCGACGGAGCGACCGAGGCCGGCGATACCAGCACGGGAGATGCTGACGAAGAACACGCCCTTCGCACGGAGAACGATGAGCTCAAGGTGAGCAGAGCCCCCGGCCGCCGTGCCAACCATGCAGACGTCGGGCCGAAGCGTCTTACGCCTGGCATTTGCGTCCTTCTCCCCCTGCAGCGCCGCCTTGGCCGTCTGGAGAAACAGGTCAACCTGCTCAAGCGGAAGAGGCCGGACAGCCGCGACGATGGCGCCGACGTCATCGATCTGACCCAGGACGACGGCGACGACGACGACAACGGCGACAACGGCGACAACGGCGACGGTCGCGACGGTCGCGACGGTGCCGAACAGCAAGGAGCTGTACCCGCTGGCGTCGATCGCCAAGGACCGGAGGGCGAGCGCAGCGAAGAAGCGAGCGGAAGCAAGGAGGACGAGCGCAGCGAAGAAGCAAGTGGCAGCAAGGAGGGTGGTGTTGACCAGCAGAAGGCTCAGAGTAGCGAACACGCCGAGGAGGAGCCTGCAGCCGAGCAGCGACCTGCGGCCGAGTAGCGGCCCACCGTTCGAGCCGCCCAGCTGATCCACATCCCGATATCGAGCACCAAGCTTGAAGTCAAGCGACCGCCCACTGGTCTGTCGCGCCTCGCCCGCCCACATTTCCCCGCCCAGTCTAGGGGAAAGCGACCGCCCATCGATCCGTCGCGCCTCGCCCGCCTACCCGAGTCCTGCTTCCAGTCCAGAGCAGAGCGACCGGCCATCGATCCGCCATGCCACGATCGTCCTCTTCCAAAGCTCAATCGCGCCATGCAAAGCAATCCGGCCGTCGATCGATCCATCTTGCTTCGCCCCTGTGGCGATCGCGCCTCGCCCGCCTCTCTACCCCTCGTTGCCCAACCCTGGACCATCCTACAGGGGACGCACGCGGTTGCGCATGGGGCCGAGCCTGCTCTTGAGCGCGGCCAAATCGTACACCCCAATCTGCGTGATCCTGTCCCTGAGGTGGTCGAGGCTCGCCGAAACCTCACGAGCGGCGACCTGGAAGTTGTCGTAGACGTAGGGCATGCTCTGCTGGAGCCTTGCCCTGTGAGCGGCCTCGTCGGCACCTCCTCCTCCTCCTCCAAACGTGGTGGCGAGGGCGTACTCGTGCTGCGCCTGGTCGTAGAGGCGCTGGAGGGTGGCGAGCCGTTCCTTGATCTCGACCAGCCGGGACCTTTGCGGCGTGTCCCTGCCCATCTGTTGGTTGCGAAGGTTTTCGAGCTGCCACGAGGGGTTGTGGATGTTTCCATCCGGGCCGAAGGAGGCCATGAGCGTGTTGATCTTTCGGATGCGTTCAAACAGGGTCAGGGCCCGTTCGTCGGGGAGCGTGGGGATGGGATGGTCGATGGCGCGGTAGGTCTGGAAGACGTCGTGGTCCATGTTGGCCCCATGAAGACGCAGGCGCGACACGAGACCGTTGTAGGCCTTGAGAAGCCTCGCCTCTTGGGGGTACAGGATCTTCCAGTCGTCTTTTGACAGACCCGCCGGTGCGGCTTGGACCGAGACCGCGATGGAAAAGAGGAGAGGGGCGAGGAGCAAGAAGAGTAGAGCCTGCACCGTGTGGAAGCGACCGAGGTTCATGTTGATGATGAGGCCTTGTTGGGCGAGGGCGGTAGTGGGAAGGGCGCGAGAGGGGGGGGATAGTCGGGAAGGAAAGAGAGGAATGAGTGAGGAGCGAGACCAACAAGCTCAAGACGGAGGGCATTTATACCTTTCTCAGATAGAGATGGCCCGACACCTCTTCGGCCTCGCATTTGCAAATCGACCAAGACAGGGACAGAGAGGGAGTTGGAGGAGGGTCTGCCGTGCCCACCCTCGCTCGTTTGCGGGGCGTGAATCCTCGCCGCCTTTGACCAACGAGAAGAGCCGAGGCGCAGATGAAGGTGTGCGGGTCCCATCGTGCCCTCATCAGCTCGAAGCCGAGACTGATGCCCAATGGTGGCGTCGAATCGACCGCCCGGTTCGGAGCGGAGGTTCTTCATCGTTCCCACTTGCTTCAAAAGGGCTAGACCAGGGTTGGTCCTTGGTCCGTGGTTCGGGATGCGATCCGTCGCAAGTGAGATGGAAGAGATGGTCCGCGGGTCAATCTAGATGAGGAGCAGTGGTGATTCCGAGGGCGGCAGCATTTCAACCGCGCCTCGGCCTGAATGGAGAGGGGAAGCGGTCCGCGGTTGTTCGACGTACGTGGTGCGATCAGACGACTGTGAAGACGTGCAGAACGACGCAGCGGAAAGCGGCACTTGTGTGCGATGGAGAGGCTGCAAATGCCGCGGGAGTCAGGAGGTAGACGGTCAGTGGCCCTCTAACGTGATGTGCCGCTGATGCTTGTCGACTCGTATTCGGATCAGCCCTGGACGACGACACACTACTGTGGCCGAGTCGGTCGCCTTGATCCGCCGACACGCTCCGTTCGAGGTGGCTATGCGGTCACGCTTCCAGTGCGACGGTCGCAGCATCGATGAGACCCGCATCGCCTCGGCGTGCGATGTCACCGGCTCGGCCGTGGTCGGTCAAAGGTGTGTCATGCGATTTTGGTGCCGTCACAGAATGTCTAGTCGCATGGTACGACTCCATCTACCCTTCACGAGCGGGTCTCTAATCAAAGCAGATACTGGATGCGCCTCCCGTGCCGCCTGGGACGCTGTTGGAAACGGGGGATTTGGATCGGTCACAGGAGTGGGGAGCGACTTTGTCAGCGGACGAAACGTGCAATTTCGGGGCGACGATGCTGTCGCGCCACTCACCGGACCCTCCGCGTGGGCCTGAAGCCGTTGTGGCTCTTTGCGTCGTTGGGGACGCCCTCGTACTTGCCGACGGATGCAGAGGCAGTGTCGGGCTCGACGGCGTTGAGCACCTGCGACTGGATGGGCCTGGTGGTGACGGCGGGCGCAGGAGCGGGCGGGATGTTTTCGGCCTCGTCGCGGGCGTCGTAGTGGGGCTGGCGGGATGCGGGCTTGATGGGCCTCTCGTCGACGTCAGCCGCCGCGTTGCCAAAGAGGGACGTGATCTGGGCCGAGCCGCCGCCGGGCAGCTCGCGCACCTTGCGCGTGGGGCGGAAGACTTCGCCAGAGCTGGTGTAGACGACGTTGGCCGAGGACCTGGATGCGGCCTCGCCGTCGTCGGAAGGTGCAGGTGCGGATGCGGTCGCGGGCGCAGACCTTGCGCTGATGCTGGTGGCCTGCTGCGAGGCGGGCTGGGCGGCGGCGGGCTGACTGGGTGCGGCCTCGTCGGTCAGCTTACCGATGCGAGCGTACCTGGGGCGTGGTGCAAAGGGACGAGGAGGGGTATAGACAAGGACTAAGGTCAGCTCGCGCTGATCGTCGAGACGATTTCCGGCGCCGCTGATCGTGGTGCTCGTCTCACTTTGGGAGCTTTGCGAGTTCGGTAAAGTTGGGGCCGACGTGGACGTTGTGCTGCTTGAGGAAGTTGATGAAGTCTGCCTTGGTAAAGACGATGGCGGCGCTCGATGGGAGCATGCCTGTGGGTGCAAGGGGGGAAGAAGGAAGGAGATCGAGGTACGACGAGGTGTTAGCGGAAGATGTTGGGAAAGAGGGCGTAGCCAAGTGAGGCGGGGCGGGAGCTCACCGAGCTGGTAGGCCCAGTCCTTTGGGTTGGAGGAGTCGCGGTCAAAGTGCGGGTTGGGAGTGAAGGTCATGGTTGGCGTGCGTGGCAAGGATGCGCTGTGGGCGGAGACTGGGCTGTTGAGAGGGAAGATGATGCGACGTCAGAGAGGAGTAGCGGTGAGGGTGGGTGGTGGTGGTGGTGGTGGTGGTGGCGAAGGTGGGGCGGAGGCAGGGAGGAGGCATAGCGCGGGCGCGGGCTGCTGCTGTTTGGTGTCCCAGCCGCTGGTGAGTGTTGGTCTCTGCGGCCGCGCTGCCGCGTGCTGGCCAACACAACACACGGCCCTGGCCTGGAGACCTGCCCTTTGCCTGCCTGACGCGCCGCCCGCGCCGTGGACGCCATTTTCTCAAGATCCAGGCGGGGTCGTGGGCCGCGCCCTGCCCCTGCCCTGCCTGTTTGGGCTTCACTCCTCCTCTGAGCTCGGGCCAAGAGGCCAGGCTGTCTGGACCCTGATTCCACGCCCCAACCTCCAAAAAAGTTGGCGGGCCGGTCTGGCCGCTTGCCCTCTCTCCACCTGCTGCCCGCTGGCCCGCTTGCTTGCTTGCTGCCTGCCCGCCTGCGCCCCGAGCTTGGGCCGCACAGGCACCGGCTCGAGCTTCTGCCCAAGCCTTCTCTCATCATCACCACCGCCACCACTCCGTCTCGCCATAGCGGTCCGCAACTCAGACCATCTCGCTGCCATCTCAACGCACCGCCGTTTGTCGAACCTCGCGCGCCAAGCTCGTCCGCCGCGGCTCGGCACAAGGTGGCCGCCATGCATCTCAACGGCTTCGACACCACCATCCACCTCGTCGATACCAAGGACAAGCTCGACGAGTACAAGGTTGAGCTCGACGGGACCAGAAAGATATCCGCCCACGTTTGCTCCGTCGACGAGGCTGCCTTCGGCATCACCGTCGCAAGAGCTCACGAGGAACGCCGAGACATCCACTTCGACCTCACTTTCGACGGCAGAGTGGTACCCGGACTCTGGCTCTTCAAAAAGCATGAGCCCTACAAGTCCATCAATAAGCTATTCGTCGGCCGCGATTCGTGCCGCAACATGCTGTGAGTCGGTTCCAGCTCCACCCAACTCACGAGCTCGAAGCGTCAACACCCGCTCATCGCTCTCTGCGTCCAACAAAACAGCTTCTCAAAGGTCGGCGACGCCGCCTCGTCGGACAACACGCCGGCCGCATCACAGCTCGGCACCATCGTCGTCAGGCTCTATGCTGCCGAAGTCCTAGGGAAGAAGCGCCGCACCTGGTACGGATCCGAGCACAACACACCCCAGGTCGACGACAAGGCTCTCAAGGAACGTAAAAAGAGCGACGGCTTGCCCTTGAGCCACCATATCAAGTGAGTCGGCAGAGCTCAAACCCGGCGCCACCTTCCCTCTCGCTCACACTCGGTTCAATCCATCATGCTGCATAGGATGGGTGACAAGCACAAGGTGAAGGCCAGCTCGCCTTGGTACACCGACAGCCGCCGGCTGTCGTGTGAGCCCTTTGCCACGTTTAGGTTCGTCTACGCCTCAGGGGGAATCTTGGAGGCGTGCGAGATTGTTCCGTCAGCCATCGACAAAGTGCCCGCATCGCAGGCCGGCGATCTGACTCGCGAGCTCGAGCTGCAGGCGACCAACGACGAGCTCAAGGTGAGTCTCGCCGACGCCTCGCTGTTCTTGCCGTGAGCCCGTCCTGAACGCTTCGGAACAACCCGTGTCGTTGGTGCAGAGGCAGCTGGCGCTGATGCAGCAGCGCCTGCATAGGCTCAAGAGGGAGCGGCCGGCTGGATCAGCCGACGATGCCGATGTCATAGACCTCACGCTCGACGACGACGATGACGGCAACGACACCGGCGGCACCGGAATTCAGCTCAGCGACGACTCGGGCATCCAGGAAGTCGACGGCAAGAGCAACAGCACGGTGGGCTCCACCGCCACGGCGAAGAGGCGCCGCGGTCCGAAGAGGAGCGTCAAGCGCGAGGTCAGCGTCCAAAGTGGCGAGAGCGGCAGGACGGCTGCTGACGACGCAGAGGAGGGTCCCCGTCGTTCGAAGCGTCAGAGGACCGCGGGCTGAGAGAGTTGGCCTCCCGAGAGGTGAGGTAAATGCAGCGACGAGCCGCACCTTCGTCGGCCGATCGCACTGACGCCGGTGTCCTGCTCCGCATCGCAGCACATGCAGAGGCTCGACCATCCCAGCATCGCCAGATCGACTCTAACCGCACCCCACACAGCCAGCATCGGCATCAAAAGCGTCGCCGTCGTCGTCGGCGCACCTTGCGAATCGGACGCTTCCCGCCTTGAGCCCTCCATCGGCCTAGTCACCCACGCAAGAATACCCACTCCTCAGCCGCAGAGCAGGCTGCACCGCGCAGCATCAAACCATCGCAGGGGCACAAGAAGCCGACGTCGGGATAGAGGGCGCAGCAGCAGCGGTAGCGGCAGCACCAGCAGCAACGGCGAGCAACACGGCATCTGTGCGACCATCTTAGTGACTTGCCATTCCGCACCGTGCCGCGCGCTCTCTCCGACAGTACTCGATCTCGCGCCGAGCGAGTCAGGCCGAGCTCCACCGATCCCCTCGCAGTCGCAGCACCCGCATCATCACATACCCACGATCCCACAGCACCGACGCACACACACGCAGTCCAGCCACAGTCACAGTCACAGTCACAGTCACAGAATCGCGAAACGGGCCCGGAGTTAGGGGGGCGGGAGGGTATCATCATTGTCACGAATACGAACACGAACACGGTCCAGAGCGAATGTCCATCATCTTCTTGTCGATCGCCACGCACCGCA